CTACTGAGGGGGGGGTGGATGGGGTCCCCCATCAGCAGCAGGACACCTTGGTGGGTGCAGGAGTGTGGCGTGGGGGATTAACCCACAGAAATGCCTCGAGAAGCAAAGTGCTTCTGGGGAGCTCCCTAGCACGGGGGGATAAAGCCAAAGTGTGGGCTGGCTCTGTTGTGAGTGTTCCTGATGCTCTGTTCCCCCCCCTCCCCAGGCCTGGACTCCCGTGGCTTCCTCATAGGCCCCCCCTTGGCTCAGAGGCTGGGCATTGGCTTCGTGCCCGTGCGGAAGAAGGGGAAGCTCCCGGGGCCCACCGAGTCCGTCTCCTACGCCCTGGAGTACGGGAAGGTAACGCCTGGGTGGGGGGAGAGAGCTCCCAGGCTGGTCGGTGCTGGGCTGGGGGGATGTCACAATAAAACCCAGGAGGGGGGTGATGCCCAGGGCGGGTTTCCCAGCCCAGCACACTCTTCCCTGGCGTGGCAGCTCCCAGCCCCATCCCCGAGCCACGGGCGCATGCTTTGTGCCAGTGAGCCGTGCCATGATTCTTTTTTTGGGAGGGGGGATAGAGGAGGAAGGGATGATAAAACTCGGGTGCTAAATTGCTTTCTTTGGCTTGAATTCAGGGGCATGAACATGGAGTGTGTTGAGTGTTTCCCACTCTTGCAGTAAGTGCTCTGGGTAAATGCCTTTCCTGCATGGCTTGAGCAGCAGCGCGCTCGCTTCATGACCCCGCAGCCTCCTTGGTTAGCTGGGAGCTAACACCAGGCACTAACAGCAGCTGTCCAACCCAGAACTCATCCCTGAAGGTTGTTTGGGCCAACTCTGGCATGGGACAAGCTCTATCTGATGCAGGATGGTGCCTAGGATGGTTTGAGTCTTGTTTGACAGCACCATGCTCCAGCCTGGGGTATCCCAGGCGATCTTCCCAACTGGAGAACTCCTTTGGGATAAGGTTTCATGATGGGGCCACAAGTCACTGAGTGAACGTTCAGGATCTTGACGTGCCAGAGGATTGGCCCAGCAATCACCTAACTGCTATATAGACTCCCCTGTAGCTGGAGTAGGTGTTTTGGGGGGGTTGTAGGTGCTGAGTGTTGACCTCGCTGAAGACTTTTCTCCATTCCACCACGTGTTGGTGTTTGTGACATGTTCCTCTGTAAAGCAAGACTAAAATGAAGCTTCTCTTTCCACCCTGCAGGCTGAACTGGAGATCCAGAGCGATGCTGTGGAGCCAGGACAAAAAGTGGTCATTGTAGATGACTTGCTTGCAACTGGAGGTGAGAGAAGCTGCAGGTGTTGGAGCACGTGGGAGCCACACACACGTGCCCTGGGAGCAGCTGGGGAGGGGTCAAGGCTTCCCTGAAGTGACATTTCTGCTCCACCTCTGTCGTGCAGGTACCATGTGTGCTGCCTGTGAGCTGCTGAAGAGGCTGAAGGCTGAAATCCTGGAGTGCCTGGTGGTCATAGAGTTAAAACCCCTGAAAGGATCAGAAAAGCTCAAGTCCATCCCTTTCTACTCTCTGCTGCAGTACTCTGACTGAGGAGGAGCTGGGAGGGGGGAATGTTGGAGTTTGGGGCCTTAGCTGGTGACTCTGGAAGTCACAGGGGGTAGGGGGGGTGGGGTTGGAACCTATAATTTTGATTCAGATGCTAGACAATCCTAAATCCTGTTTGTTTTCCAAGCTGCAGATTAAGGTGTATTTAGTGTGAGGATCCTTTATGAGTTCATCCTTCTGGGAAGAAGGAACAGTCTGAATATTTGGGGGATGGAGACCAAGATGCAACTTCACTGAATGTTGTTTTTTTTTTTTTAAAAAGACCAAAATGAAAATACTGCTGCTGAGGGAGGAGAGGTCCAGGAGTTTAGAGGGCCCAGCATTCCCTTTTGGCTGGCAGTGCCTGATCAACTTCCTAGTGACCTGTGAAGAGTTTGCCAGAGAAACACAGAAGATGGGCAAAAAGCAATTATTTGATAAATCCCTCTGTCTTTAGCCCCAGAGGGTGGTCTGGCTGCTCTCTGCTGTCGCTCACACCACAATAGGTTGCTCTTACATTAAAGTAGTGCTTGTTAAGGCTGCCCAGAGAGGTTGTGGAGTCTGGAAAGATTCTGGATACAATCCTGGGCACCCTGCTGTGGGTGACCTGCTGGAGCAGGGGGGTTGAACAAGATGATCTCCAGAGGTCCCTCCCAAACCCACCACTCTGGGATTAAGTGTTTGCCCAGCCATGTGTCCTGAAAACATGAACCAGCCCAACAGAGGTTGCTGGTCAATGAGCTCAAACACCATGTTGGCTTGTACTTGGCTCGTGGTCTCCTTCCCTTGGTCCAGGGTAGTTCTGAGCAGTGGATTTTTCCAAAGTAGGAGAAATCTACATCATGAGGGACAGGTGGTGAGCAGGGGGACCTTGCACATGCTCAGGGCTGTTCACCTGCCTCCTGTCCAGCAGTGCTGGCAGCTTTTGTTTGTCACAAATTCCCTACCTCCTGCAAACTATCTGTCTTCTTGTGCTGCTCTCTGCCTTCTGCTGGGTCCTTCTTGGGTCATCAGGGTGTTGAAGGGATGGTAGCAGTTTAGAGGCTGTTTTTGTTGGTATATTTGGTGTCAGATAAGGGCACAGGAAAGAAAGCAAAGGCATCATGCTTGGAGCTGAGCTCTGGTGGTCTCACTCAGGTTGTGTGGTGGGTGATGTGGGGTTGGGAGGTGCTCCCTAGAGCACAGAATGCTTTGGGGTGGAAGGGACCTTTAAAGCATCATTCACTTTGGTCACAGGAGTAGCCAACACCCAGAGTGCCAAAACTTCCAGATGCCTGAAAACACGAGGGACTGTGTCCCTGTCCTAGCAGGGGCTGAACTCATGGGTAAAATAAATTTTGTCTTATTTTTATTTTTCCTAAACTGTCTCAGAGCTGTTCTTGCAGTAGCTGAAGCTGTTTGTGACCCCAGGGAGCATCTTCCTCCAAACCCAGGCTGTCTGTGGAGAGCAAGGCTGGGGCCTGAGCCCCCTTGCCACCCCAGCTGCTTGGAAGGAATCACTTGCCAGGACTGAGCAGTTCAGGTACCTTCTCTCCATACCTGGCACCAGCTTCTAGCTGGAGGGGAGCACCCAGGCTGGTCCATGCAGTGGCAGGGCCCTGTGGGAGCACAGCCTAAGCCCTCACAGCTCAGCTGACCATCCCTTCACTGTGGGGACACCACCCACCCTACCCAAGGGCTAGAGCAGCTATTTTTATTACAGTTTCCTGAAAAGCCACTTCAGTGGCAGCTCAGTTTACACTGAGGTGGTCAGAAACACCAGTCCCCAGGGGAGAAACCTCCCTCTGGGCACTTGTTTCTGCAGGGAGCCAAGGGAGGTGGCACCTTGCCCGCAGCCCTGGCACAGGGAGGAGGTCCCTGCTGTGAAGTAGAGAAGGGAAAGATTGGTTCCACCCCCGAGGAGCTGCAGAAAGCAGCTGTGGAAGCAGCATCAGCCCTGCCAGTGCCAGCACTGGCTGTGAGCAGGGCCAAGAGGTGACATCAGGGAGCGTGGGGATGGTGCCTTCACCTTGGCCAGGCTCTGAGCAGCCCTTGATGGGATTTGCTTGTAGTTTTTGTCTGAGGCAGCAGAACAGGAGCTCGCTGGGAGCTCTCCTGGGGGGTGTGTGTGCCTCTGCCAGGCTGCCAAGCCCAGCTCCTCTCCAGCTCCTCTGCAGCACGGTCAGCAGCCCAGCCTGCACCCCAAGCCCAGCCTGTGCACCCCCCTCCAGCTTCTAGGCCAGGTTTAAGTCCTCCTCTTTGGAAAATGGGGCTACCTCCTGCCAGCAGTGCTGGCCAACTGGCCTGCACGATAGCAAGTGAGGTTCTGGAGGAGGAGGCCAACTGGCCTGCACTATGGCAAGTAGTCCTGGAGGAGGAAGAGGGGGTGGCCAACTGGCCTGCACCTCAGCAAGCAGGGTTCTGGAAGAGGAGGAGGACCTGCCTGCTCCCTGGGACAGCACTGTGGGGGTCTCTGATGCTGGCAGTGCCTGAGAGCAGCAGTTCGGGGGGGACACCTCCCCTGGACCAGCACGGTCCTCGCCAAGAGGGATGAAAGAGGGTCACCTTCCCACACAAATCCCTGATGCCCCATGGTAAAACCAGGCTCAGAGCATGGTGTGAAGAGTGCCCCATGTGGCACAGGGCACCCCCCACTGCCCTGAGTCAGGCTGGCACCTCCACACCCATCAGCACCCTCCATCCCTCTTCCCAAACCACTCCAGCCCAGGGCCCAGGGGCTCTCCTTCGGGGGTAAAAGCCCCTCTGCACCCACCCCCAGCCCTCCTGCTCCTGCCCCCCGTTACAAAAGCTGCATTCAGCTCCCTGCAAACCCACGCTCACTTTTTCCAGTGAGTCTTTCTCCAGGAGCTGGACGAGGCCCCAGCCCTTCCCTGCCTGTGCTGGCCAGTGCCAATTGCCATGGAGAAGCTCGGTGCAGGCGGCAGCTCACCGAGGAGCAGCCCTGGGTTAACACCAGTCAGCTAGATTTAAAACATTTAATACAAATATGTTTTGACAAGTCCTGTAGTTGTTTCCAGCGAGTCCTGGAGATGCATTTTTCCCTCCCTTAAAAACAGAACAAGGCCCAGAACTCCCAAAAAACATCAATTTGTGAACTTCTTTCGCTTCTTCCTGCCCGTGTAACTCGCTCTCACCTTGCCCAGTCCTGCCTCCATCCCACCAGGGCTCAAAAGCTGATGGAAGAAACCTCCACCAACCCTCTGAGGAGAAGCCTCCTGCACCAACCCAAAGGTTTTTAGCTCTTCACCACTTGTGTTGCCACCCAGGACGCAGGACTGCCTGCCTCAAGGGTTAGGGGAACTATGGTCCTCACGGCCCCTAGCAGAGGAATTTATTAAATTAAGGTGTTCTGCTCTCCCTCAGGCATCCCTGAGGGCTGAGCCTCCCGCAGCCCACACCAGTCCCTGGAGCACTGTCAGGATTTGCTGCACTGAAGAGGAGGTTGCCCAGGGAAAGCCTCGACCCTCGGGGAGCTCAGAGGGCTTCTGCCTCCTTTGCTGCCTTGGTGAGCCTCTCGGTGACGAGGCCGAGGTCCATCCCTTTGTCCAGTTTGATGTAGGTGTCTGTCCTCAAGGTGTGGATCCCCACCCAGTCGGGCACCAGCTCCGCAAAGAGCCTCAAGTGTTCCTCCATCTCACCTGCAAAAAGCAGCAGCAGGACCCCCAGGTCAGAGCTCAGCTCCCCCAATACCCCTCCCCAAGCAAAGAGACCCCCCCCAAACCCAGCCCTTCCCTACCGGAGGACATCTGCACGTCGTAGCTGTCGGCCATGAGGCCACAGGCCACCTCCATGGTGAGGGCCTGCTTCTTCTCAGCCACGAAG